AGCTAGTAGCTTAATAAAATATTTTCACCTGATCGACATTCCTCCTCTTACTTACCTGTGAGAGATGGCAACTATAAAATGCCTCGGAGCGGTATGTGATTACGGATAATATAAGGGCCTTACCCACAGGCCAAGATAAATTTTTAAATATCTTATGTAGTATTACATTATAATAGATGTAGTGCAGTGGAGTGGTAGATTCATTAACGCGTAACCGTTACCAATTTAGGAACGTAACGCCTCGCAACCATTTAACTAATTTAGGTTAGCGATTAATATAAAATATATCTTTAAAATCTTAACTCTAATTTAATAATTTTTTAATTATTGAATGTCTATATTTAATTATTGTACAACCATTACAGCTTGTTAATGTTAGCGTACAATAATTAATACATTAAAGTTTCTTTAATGCGCTCAGCATTGTTGGTGCGCATATGAAGCATAGTGTAATAGATAAAATGTAATTTAATATGAAACTATCTTTAAATATACAATCACTATCTTTCTAAGGTACTAATTACTGCAATAGTGCACCTAATTATGCTTTAGTTAGTGTGTATATATTGCCTTTAGTGGTAAGTAAGTAACAAATAGATATAGTTTTATATTCATAAATATTCTTAATTTAAAATATGCGATTATTAAAAAGCAATTCAATTTTAGGTTTTGTTAATTCTTATTTAGTAGATTCTCCACAACCTTCTAGTCTTTCATATATGTGGAATTTTGGATCACTATTAGCTGTTTGTTTAGGATTACAAATAGTTACAGGAGTATTTTTAGCAATGCATTATACTCCTAATGTAGAATTAGCTTTTACAAGTGTAGAACATATAATGAGAGATGTAAATTTAGGATGAGCTATAAGATATGCACATGCTAATGTAGCATCATTTTTCTTTATATTTGTATATGCACACATAGGAAGAGGTTTATATTATGGATCATATAAATCACCTAGAGTTTTACCATGATCAATAGGAGTTATAATTTTAGTACTTATGATGGCTACAGCTTTCTTGGGTTATGTATTACCATATGGTCAAATGTCATTATGAGGAGCTACTGTTATTACTAACTTATTAAGTGCAATACCTTATGTAGGTCAAGATTTTGTACAATTGGTATGAGGAGGATTCTCAGTATCAAATGCTACATTAAATAGATTCTTTTCTTTACATTATTTATTACCATTTGTATTAGCAGCATTAGCTATGTTACATATGATTACTTTACATCAACATGGATCAAGTAATCCTAATGGAGTTACAGGTAATGTTGATAGAGTACCAATGCATCCTTATTTTATGTTCAAAGATTTAGTAACAATCTTCTTATTCTTCTTAGTACTTTCTGTAATGATTTTCTACTATCCTAATTTATTAGGTCATAGTGATAATTATATTCCAGCTAATCCAATGAGTACTCCAGCTTCAATTGTACCAGAATGATATTTATTACCTTATTATGCTATATTAAGATCTATTCCTAATAAATTATTAGGAGTTATAGCTATGTTTGCTTCATTATTAATTTTATTAATTATGCCTATTGTGGATACTTCTAGAATTAGAGGTAACCAATTTAGACCTTTAATGAAATTCTTCTTCTGAGTTTTTGTTGTTAATTTCTTTATTTTAATGTGAATAGGTAGCCAACATCCTGAATATCCTTTCACAGTAGTGGGACAATTCTCTACAGCTTTGTATTTTCTTTTCTTCTTATTTATTGTACCTGTAATAGGTATATGTGAAAATACTTTAATGGACTTAGCTGTACCATATTCATATAACAAAAATAGAGCTTAATTAACTAACATAACATTAGCCTTTATGTTCCTCTCAGCAATTCGTTGTGCAGTGATGAGGGCATAAATTATACCCTCTTGCTTTAGTTTATATATATAAATTTACCTTCTTGGTTTGTCTATATAGACATTTATCTACATTGTAGATTTATAAAAATAATAAACCTTTAACAGTCAGGTAATAAATATAATTATATCATGTAACTATTTATACAAACTAAAAGTAGTTATTAAATAACTAGACGGTAATTTACACAATGTAAATTGTATAGCACTGCTATGAATATTTTTATATTCTGGTAAAGCTATAATGTGAGCTATAAAATAGCTTAAAATAATTTATTAATACAATAAATTATATATTTATAACACTATTATATATAGAATGTTATAAAAATAAATAATAATTAATTTTTAAATATAAACCAAACAATGTTAAGCAAATTTTTTAAAAAAGTTAATTCAATATTAGGGATTACAGTAGGGATTATAACTATTGATTCTTGAATTAGATATATGTGTGAGCAGAGCGCAATTCACACAAATAAAGATAATAATATTAAATTATTAAATGAGGAAATGAATAATAAATTGGCTATGTTCCAAAAACCGCTCGAAGAAATTAAAACAAATTGTATGCACACTAATTTGAAAGAAGTTGAGGATCTAAGTCCAAAAATATTAGAATCAACAATAAATGAAGCTAGAAACTCAATTAATGAAATTAGTCATAAAATAATTAATGTTGAAACTAATGTTGGAACTCGAACAGGGACTGAAATAGATGTTGAATCACTTAAAAATCTGATTAAATCTACAAATTCTACTTTAGATCAGAGTCTAACACTAATCGACAAAATAGTGGAAATTCTAAAAGGTTTTTCATGGTCCGGAAATGCTTCATCTTTATGAGAAATAGGTAAGATGTTTGAAAACTATCAAAAATTTTTATCTACCTTAACTGCTGTAGAAGTAGGGGCTCTTGCTCATTTAATAATTTCTTTCACTATATTATTTAGTATCTTTTCTATCATTTCAGCTTTATTCAGTGAGTATTTAGTACAATATTTTAAATTAGAAACTAGATTTCCTAGATTATCTAAATTATTATTAATCAGAAGAAAATTGAATAATTATTCAATAGCATTTAATTTTATTGTTATTATAATATTATTACTGTCAATGATATATGCAAATACTAGAGTATTTTTAGGTATTTAAAAAAATTACTAATAGTTGTATTTATTAGTGATTATACCCCCTATTTAATAATGAAATTAAAAGTAGTTATTGGATAAATAGACGGTAATTTACATATGTAAATTGTATCGCTTATGTTATAGAATTATAATATTTTATACTAAGCAATAATATAAACTATTTTTATAGTTTTAAATAATTTATTATTAATATAAATTATATATTTTATATCATTATATATCACAGTGTTATAAAAATAATTATTATCAAAAAAACAAAAACAAACCATGTTAAAACTATTATTAATTATACCTATTTTAGGTTGTTTACCTTTAATGATGATAAAAAGTGAATCATTATCAGGTGATAAAAATCAACTTCATTTAGAAAATGAAAATTACAAAAAAAATCTTATAAAAAATATAGCTTTAGGAACTTCTTTATTGAATTTATTCCTTTCAATTCTTATTTGGATACAATTTGATTCTTCAACTAGTGAATATCAATTTGTAGAAGAATTTAATTTTTTAACTCAGTATCATTTTAATATCGGAATAGATGGTATATCTCTCTATTTTGTACTTTTAACTACATTTATAACACCCATTTGTATTTTAAGTAATTGAACAGATATAACACATAAATTAAAATATTTTTTAATATCTTTTTTATTATTAGAAACATTACAAATAGCAGTATTTGTAGTATTAGATTTATTTTTATTTTATATATTCTTTGAAAGTGTATTAATACCATTATTTTTAATAATAGGTATATGAGGAGCTAGTACAAATAGAATAAGAGCAGCTTTTTTATTATTTTTATATACATTAGCTGGATCATTATTTATGTTATTAGCTATATTAGTAATATATGGGAATATAGGATCAACAGATTTAAAATTATTAAGTTTAGTAGAAATTAGTTTAGAAAGTCAAAAATTCTTATGATTAGCCTTTTTTTTAAGTTTTGCAGTTAAAACTCCTTTAGCACCTTTCTATATTTGATTATTCAGAGCACATGCTGAATCACCATTATCAGGAAGTATTTTATTGGCAGCAGTAATATTAAAATTAGCTACATATGGATATTTAAGAGTATTAATTAATATTCTACCTGATGCAACACAATATTTTTCACCATTAGTACAAACAATAGCAATAATAACATTAGTATATTCTTCTTTAGCAACTATAAGACAAATTGATACTAAAGGTTATGTAGCTTATTCAAGTATTGGTCATATGAGTGTAGTAGTATTAGGATTATTTTCTAATAATATACAAGGTATAGAAGGAGCAATTTTATTAAGTATTGCTCATGGTTTAGTTTCTCCAGCATTATTCATTTGTGTAGGTGGAATATTATATAGTAGATATCATACTAGATTAATTTCTTATTATAGAGGTATGGTATTAAATATGCCTGTATTTACTATTTTATTCTTATGTTTTACATTATTTAATGCTGCTGTACCTTTATCATTAAATTGAGCTGGTGAATTTTTATCATTGGCTGGAATTTTCCAAAAATCTCCTTTCATTGGAGTTATAGGAGCCTCAACAATAGTTCTTTCAGCTATTTATAGTATATGATTATTTAATAGAATTAGTTACGGTGAATTCAGTAAACATTTAAAAATAACAAAAGATATAAATAGAAGAGAATTTATGTTATTACTGCCTTTATTAATTGGAGTTGTAATATTAGGTATTTATCCTAATGTAATATTAGATACTTTACATGTATCTGTAACAACATTACTATATAATATCTAAATTATTATTATTTTTACCCCCTTTATTACCCTAATGCACTCATAATTGAGTGATGCACAACACATCCGCTGCATTACCTGATAAATACCCAATAAATAATAAATAAATAATTAAATAATTAATAAATAATTATACAATATATAAATCGGATATAAATCTGATATAAATCGGTTATAAATAGGTTATGTGGTGCATAAGTAATCTTAATTAAGGGTCCTTTAGTGTAGTGGTAGCACAACATCTTTTCATGATGTCGGGACCAGTTCGAATCTGGTAAGGACTATATTTTAAGTATGCTAATTTAATACTGCTGTACTACTCTTTTTGCACAATCCTTGTGTGAAGCATATACCTGCTTATTATTACGCAATGCGCACCTATGTGCTAGGAAGTGCAGCACGAGCGTGCAGTGTAAGACTATGTTAATCACAAGCGTAAAATAGTTGCTTTAGAATACCTATTAGTAACACCTCTGCGCACCAATAATGCTTCTTCTAATGAGAAGTGTTTAATGCGCATAAATTTTTAAGTTCTAAAATAGGTGTATATTTAAGTCGAAATAGTTAAATAGGTTAAAACAGTTTCCTTGTAAGATTCAGTTGTTGGTTCGACTCCAGCTTTCGACAAATACATCGTAGAGCGGGCAATGTAAAATTTATTTTCGTAGAAATGAGTTGTAGTTTAATTAGGAAGAACACCATTTTTTGGTAGTGGATATACCAGTTCGACCCTGGTCGACTCAGAATTTTAGGCACATTAAAGGAAAAAAAACATACTAGTTACGCTACATTTACCAATGGAGATTGCACATATCTGGAGGCACTCCAATGCTGATTACGCATGTGCCCTGCAACCCATAGTGTTAACGCATTTTGCATAGCACGAGGCATTATATCAGACAATATACCTAAGGATGCAGAACTCGGTAGGTAGAGTGTCTCCCTTTTAAGGAGAAAGCCAGTGGTTCGATCCCACTTGCATTCAATAGAATTATAGTGCAACATTTTTTGTAGCTAATACACCTGAAAACAACGACAATTATCTTAATGATTTATCTGCTCTGGTACGCTGCACGTGTGCAAACATTCATGCGCTGCCAAAGGGCTAAAGGGACAGCGAGCGTTGATGCTGGCCACATAAGGGTAAGGATTTACTTAAAAGTAGTTAAATAATAAAATGTATAACTACTTTTGCTTTGTAGGAGACGCTAATCGACAAACTAATGTTATGTATATATTGGCAGATGGCGAGATATTGTAAAGGTAACATAATTGGCTCATGACCAATTGATTTAGGTTCGAATCCTAATTTTGCCTTATGTGTACCAGCGATAGTTGCTACCTACTAGGTAACAGTTCACCCGATATTAACGTTTTTTTAGGGCTGGGCCTAGGGTAGGTTAATGTACAATGCTATCATAATAGGGTGGAGGAATAGTTTTCATTAGGCAAGATAAGATGGTTGCTAACTATTAGGGTTATCCCTGTAGGGGTTCGAATCCCCTCTATTCCGATATTGTACACAATGTTTATGATTAGCGCTACACAGCGCTTTACGCATCTATAATTAAGGGCTGATGCTAGAATGGTAATTAGGATTTTCTGTAAAAAAATTGATCCATGTGATCGGGATAGGTTCGATTCCTTTTCAGCTCATTTAAATTACAAATAAAAATTATTGCATATCGTATATTGTGCACCCCTTGACTACTGCGGTAATCGCTCGATTATCTTTATTATTAATAATCTAGGGTAATAACCTAGCTAGTGATAAAAAGTCCTCTATTTATTTATAAAAGTAGTTTATACACTATAAAATATTTAGTGTGTTTACAGGGCTTAAATATGTTAAATTGCTCCTTTAACGTCTTACTTTGGTTTCGAGCGCATTACGCAGAGCAAAGAGGATTGCGTGTGGAGCGCATTGTGTATAAATAACAAGACTGTAGCATAATCGGTAATGCCCCCCGCTCATAATGGGTCCTATGAGGGTTCAAATCCCTCCGGTCTTAATTCAATTTTATGTGCGGGCTACAACATTGCTTACACAGCACATAATAATTGTAAAATATGTGATTGAACATTGCTTCATTCACTACCTTTAGGTATAAGCATATTAGTTGCATTACCATAAAAATATTAAATAATTCAATAAGCGAACATGCTGAAATTGGTAGCCAGGCTTTTGTTAAGTAGAAGTGGAAGTAATTCTGTAAGAGTTCAAGTCTCTTTGTTCGTAACTAAATTATTAATCTCAGAATTTATATATATTTTTAATATATTATTTAACTAAATTTGTCCTCTTGTATAAAACGCACACATATGTAAACGCTAACTGTATCCTAAGCCTTTATGATTATCTAATGGGCAAGGGAGCGCAAGCGAAGTCCTTGACGTGTGTCTTTTTGATAGATGCTATGCGAAGCGCGATTAACACCTAATTGATTGCGCAACGCATATATTAATAATCAAAGGGGAGAAAACAAACTGGTGCGTTACTTAGTTTGGGACTAAGCTATAGCTAGTTCGAGTCTAGCCTCTCCTATTTTAGTTAAATGCCCTCCTTCGCATAAGCGAGCGTTTAAGCGAGCGGAGCACACCAGCAATGCAATCAGCACCCGCTGCTCGTGTGCATTCGCACCTCATTTTATGAGCGCTCCGCATTGCTTATTGCGGTGGGGTGTAAATAAATTGTAAATAATAAAATAATTCATTAAGCGAGTATGCTGAAATTGGTAAACAGGTGTATCTTAGGAATATATGATTTTTTTAAATTTTAAGAGTTCGAGTCTCTTTACTCGCAATTATGTATTACATAATGTAGTACCCCCCCCC